AGGGAAATCTTGAGCTAAGAGGAGGGTGTGGCTCTTCTATAGAATAAGCGAGGAGAACGGTCTGTTTAACTGAGGATTTGAAGCAGGGGTGGGGTGTAGTGCAAGGTCAAAGTCAGACTGTAGACATATGTTCAGTCTGATTATTCCTGACCTAAGAAGCCCGGCAAAGTTGATAACTTTTGACATAATGAGTGGGTTGGGGGAAGAGCTGCTGAGGCCTTTCAAATATCATGATGGTTATGCATGGAACTTAAGTAGAGTCAGCAGTTATGTAGGTCAACCTGGAGGTATTGAGGAATCATAATGAGCATTTTTTGAGATCCTGAAATAATGGTAGAAATGAAAAGGAGGAATCAGACATGAAGATTTAGGAAACTTCATTCTAATGCTGACGGCCATTAGTTTCTAGAGAACTTGGTGACTGATCAAATATAAAGGAGATGGAGGAATCAACAAATGATCCCAGAGTTTTGATTTAATGTGGGTGGATGAAGGGTGTAAGCTCATTGACATAGCCTGAATGGACTGTTAGGGGAAGAAACAGGTAGAGTGTACTGCAGAGCGGGACCTCATGAGGGATATTGGACAGAGGGAGGTGAGCTAGACATGAATAACAGTCAGGGAGGTGGAAGCTAAACCAGCATAGATGAACCACAAAGGAAAATGGAAGAGCTTCAGGAAGGAGGAGTCATGGGGGTTCCAGAGATTTATGAGTTCAAAGGATTAGGAATGGAAAGACATCACTGAAAATCTAAGTTATGGAAATGGCACAGGTTGTGTGGAGTTTAGGAAAAAGGGAAGGAAGTCAAAACAATGGGCATACACACTTTTCGTTCTTTAAATTTTTAACATAAATTGTGGTCAAAGGATCAAGTGAAAGTTTTTTCAAGGTAGAGGAAAAGTATAGAGCTCGAGGTAGGAGCAGAATACTGAAATTGGAGAAGAAAAAGGAAAATGGAGCAAAGGTACTCAGAATGGAATCAAAGGCACACCAGGGCCATAACTGAGGTGAGGGATGTGGGACACTTGCCTGGGTACAAAATTGAAGCGTCCCCCAAACTCAGTATCAAAGTAAGTAATGTTCTAATTAATACTTTTGAAAATTTAAAATCAATAAAAAACTATGATGAACAAAATATTAAATTTTTTCTTTCTTTCTTTCTTTTTTTTTTTTAAGAGATTTTTGCTATAGAGCGTATGTGTTCCCCAGAGAAACAGAGAGAAACAGAAGTAAGAAATCACCCCCTCCCCCTGAGGTGTTGGCCATGCCGCAACCCCTTCTTCTCAGTTTTCCTCTTGGGATTTTGGGCATGCACACACATGCACTCAGCATGATTTTTAAGTTGCCGGGTTCAGAACTTGAACCATGGTTGACTATATGAGAGTCCAGCAATGTAACTATTACATTATCTGCTGGCCCCCCAATTTTTTTTTTAAAGATATCTTTTTAAAAATTTTCAAGATGATACAAAACTGTATTGTGGACCTTTGTGAAAAAACACTATAATTATTTTCAAAATAGATTAAAATTATCTTTCGATAAAACATAATTTTTTCTTCAGAATGAGTCAGAAATACATTGAGAACATTTTAGAAAGCATCCATGATGTTTTTTTTTTTTTTGTGAGATTTTCACTGTAGGGCGCGTGTGCTCGCCAGACAGACAGAGAGAGACATAGAGACAGAAAGCGAGAAATCACCCCCCCAGGGGGGATGGTCACGCTGCAATCCCTTCTCCTCCTTTCTCCTCTCGGGATCTTGGGCACGCACGCACACACGCCCGGCGTGAGTTTTAAGCCACCGGGTCCGGGACACGAACCGCGGTCGACTACGTAGGAGTCCAGCGACATAGCCATTACGCTAACTGCTGGTTCCCAACATCCATGATGTTTTCAAAATGGATTGAAAATACATTGTAGAGTTTTTGGGAAATATATCTGTAATAAATTAGCAAAGTTTTCACATTCTATTTGTCATAAATGTTTTATTGATTTTTTGAATGGTAATTTAAAAAATCCCACATGGCTGGCTGCACAAATCAAGTCCTGGATGTGGTGGCTTGAAAAAACACATGTGTATGTACCCAGAATCTCCAGAGGAGAATGGAGAAAAAGGGATTGCAGTGTGATTATTCCCTGTGGGGGGTGCTTTCTCACTTTCTCTCTCTCTTACTCTCTCTTTTTCTCTCTCTCCAGTGAACACATGCTCTAATTTTTAAAAAAATAATATTATGATTTTTGTTGATTACTGAGTTTTTAGTACCTCTTAAAGTTTGCATCTGAGATGGGTGTCTCAGTTTTCTTACCCTGTCCCTGGCCCTGGCATAAAGAATAGTACCTTTCAGGATGCTGATGATTATGCTTCTTTCATGGTGGACATTCCTAAAAGCAGTAGTGGCATCCACAATCTCTTCACATTTTCATGCCTGTACTGTTTCCTCAGTCTCTCTCCTTGCACTCTGGCTCTTTTTTTGTCTGCCTTTCATTCTCTTCTCCCAAGACCATCTTCCATGGTTCATTCCCTACCTCCCCAAACTTACCCCCTCTGTCCCGCATGCTCCCCACTTCTCTCCAGTCTCTCTTGTGTCCAGATAGACCAGCCAGAGTTTGACGTTCCCCTCAAGCAAGAGCAGGAACAGAAAATCTATGCCCAGGTAAGATGCATGTGGACAAAGGCCCTGCCCTCTGAGGTCAGGAGAAAGGTAGGGTCTTCTGGTGACTGTGACTGAGGTTGCCTCCTACAGATTGTTCGAGAATACCTGACTTACCTGAATCGGCTGGGGACCCTGCTGGGAGGAGACCCAGGCAAGGTGCAAGAACATGCCTCCTTGTCCATCTCTATCACCTCACGGCTGTTCCAGTTTCTGAGGCCCCTGGAGCAGCGGCGGGCACAGGGCAAGCTCTTCCAGATGGTCACTATTGATCGACTGCAGGTGCCTTGAACTGGGAACTGGAGCAATGTGGGTCTGTCTCCAAAACTTTCTTTACCTCTTTGATCTCTTCCTCCTCCATCTTTATTTCCATTCCTAGCTTTCTCTGACTTCATCCCCTCCCCTAGTATTTTTCACTTTCTCCCAAACCCAAGGGGAAGCCTTTTCCTTTTCCTTCTCTCCTCCTTTTCTTTCTCCCTCAGCTTTGTGTCTCTCCTCTAAGGAAATGGCCCCTGCCATCGACTGGTTGTCTTGTTTGCAAGCGATATTCGCACCGATATCCCTGAGCTCCTCCCAGTCTCTCGTGGTCCACGACCTGGAGTATTTGAGAAACATGTCACAGCTGGTAGAAGGCCTGCTTCTGAAGCACAGGTTTGTCCCATGGGGATAGAAGGTAATGTAGAGAGTCTGAGGACCGAGGTCTTGGGGACAAAGGGGACCTCGGAGAGTGCAGACTGGGAAGGAAAGAGGGACTCACTGCATGTGGAAGCCGAGAGGGTGGGAGAGAACAAGAAGTCTTGGGGCCAAGGGGGCATGGGAAATGGAGAACACCCCAAATTGAAGGCTCAGACAGGATAGGGAGCTGCAGGAACACCAGCCTGGAAGGAGCCTCTATGCTGTAGGAGATGCTGGTAGCCTTCATCATTATGGCGAGGTAAAAGCATTTATAGCTTTTTAAAAGCTGAGGGCTGTAGGTAAAGAGAAGGCACAGGAGATGAGGAGAATGAAGTGACAAAAGCAGGGGATGCAGTGAGAGAAGAAATCTGGGGAGGGGACATTTCTCAGCTGTAGAAAGTGGATTCTGGAGCCCTTGTGGGAAAGAATTTACAAGACCCAATTTTAATTGTACTTAGAGATACATCTTAAGATGAGCTGATGTGTCTTGTGGAAGTGGATGAAGCCGTTAGGTTAATTCTGAGTCCAACCGTCATGGAATCCAGAACCTTCTCTCTCTGTAATTTGAGATGGTTGTCTTTTTTTAGTTTCTTCTATCATTCTCCAACCTCACCCTAACCTATACCAAGGAAAGCTCTTCTTGATTTGTTTGCATGTCAAGGGAGTTGTTTCTTATAAATCTAGAGGAGAAACAACTGCACTCAAGACTAACAGTGACTTACACAAGGGGAGGCTTTTCCTGAGGCAGACCCAGAACCCTGGAGTATATGTGTGGGTCTCTGTCTCCACAGTGACTTTCTGCAGAGTCATATGATCTTGGGGCTGGTGGGGACCCTTTCGCCGGCCCTGGACAGTAAATTTCAGGAGGCACGCAGAATACTGAGGCAGAAACTGCGGGAGCTGACGGAGCGACCACCCATGGTGAGGAGTGAAAGCAATGTATTTTCCCAGGTTGGGACTTAAAGGAGTTTCTGTCATTTTGAGGAGTAAACGTTGGCTTAGTTTCATCAGGGAGGATTATGGGAGTAGATGCCCCTCCATGTTTGGGCCTTTTATGAAAACGGACAGATGGTTCACCCAAAGCTTAAGTCTGAGAACCAAGATGCCCGGTACTAGACCTTTAGACAGATATCTCTTGGCCACCTCTTTGGCCTTTTGCTGAGTATTAGAGTTTAAATATAAACCTTTGAGGTCATCAAGGACTGCTTCTCCAATGTCATGAACCTTAAGTTTATTTTCTCTGTTATCCTGAGGAATATGATTTGAGAACCTGGACCCAGAGCTTAGGATTCCCTGGAATGAGACAGATATGACAAAAAGGCACCTTCCCTCTGTTAGGTGACTCCATGTTCAAAGTTCAAATGAGCTATGCAAAAAGTTCTTCTCTGACATCCAGTGGGATCTGCTGGGTCATAGGTGGGCTTCGTGGTGAAGATCCTGCTATGTCTGAAGGGCTGCATAGTAAGTGTACTTTCACTAACCAGAGTCTACCACATAATGTAAGATGTAGACACTCCTTTACTCAGAACCTTGAAATCCTAGGTCAGACACACCCAAATACAAGTGGAGGTGTCTAGTACCTTGCATATGTTCTAATGTCTATAAAAGCTTCAATTAATCTTTAAAATCACCATTTTTTTGTGTGTTTCTTTTAGTAATTTGTGGACTATTTGTCTGCTTTGGAGAAACTCTATTCTTTGGCAACCTGAAATATCTGTGGTATTCAGAGTGGGAAACTGCGTCTGGCTCCATAGTCTAGTGGTTAAGAGAGCTAGATTCCACATGGCTGACTATAGTATGAATCCCAGCCAGGTGGCCTGAAAAACACACTGGGCTTGTGCATTTGTGTGTCCCTAAATCCCAAATGGTAGAAAAGGGATTGTGATTTGACCATGCCCCAACTGGGTGTGCTTTCTCTTTCTTTCCCTCAATCTTTCTTTTTGTCTCTGGTGAGCTCACATGCCCCCTGGAAATTAAAAATTTCAATAACATAAAGACAGTAAGGATAGCCACAGGGACTAGAATGTAATTATTACTTATCGAGATGTTATATATGCTGCACATTTTCCTAGGTCTTTTAGATCTATTAGCTGATTTAGTCCTTATAATTCCATGAGATACCATAGATGTCATTATGTCCCTAGCTTACAGAGGGGGAACTGGAGGTCAAAGGTTAAAGAACTTGCTCAAGGTAACGTAGCTAGCAACTTGGTAGAAGGAGGATTTTAACTCTGGCAGCCTCTCTCCAGAGTCTGTGTACTTAGTAATTGTGCTCAAAAGCAGTCCTCCTTGGGACCTACACTCCGGTGAGCAGGTCCCCAAGAAACTTCTGCCCAACCCTTTCCTTGATCCAGGTGAAGCAGAGCAGAATCCAGGTCTTCTTGGTTGAGGTTGGTACAAAATCCTGGCAGCAAATAGCTCCCTGCAAATCCCAGAATCATGGTCTGATAGCACTTCTTGGAGGGTAAAGAGTGATGACATTGAGATTCTCACCTAAAAATATAGAATGCTTACAAATTCTGACATCACTTTTTTAGGGTATATAATTGTCCTTGAGCTTAAAAGCTGAATCAATCTCTACCAATACATTGTTGTCTGACCTTAAAGAAGTCGGCTCACTTCTCTACAGTAACAGTACAAAATATGACGCATAAAATAATAGCTGATATGCATTGCATAGTCACTCTCAGTCAGAATTTATGATAGATTATCTTATTTAGTCCCTCAGAACACTTCAATTACAATTTTGTTCATGCAAAATTAGGCTCAAAAAGGTCAAATAACTTTCCCAAGCCCACACAGTTCATAGTGAAGAAACAGACTCCAAAACAGATGTTTGGTTCATGAGGCCACGTTTTTAATCCATGCTATGCAGGATTGAGAAATATATGGGCATTTCAAACAGGGGCTTAGCAAACCTTCCTATAAAGGGTGAAACAGCAAATTTTTCTGGCTTTGTGGCCCATCTGGTCTGTGTCGCAACTACTCAACTGTGTCTTTGCAGTGCCAAAGCAGCTATACTAGGTGAATGGAGGGACACAACTGTGTTTCTAGAGAACTCTGGTTTAGACAACAGACTCACTTGGAGTTCTCAAAAGAAATCAGGGAGGGCTTGAATGATCACTGGGATCTTTGTGCAATAGGTAGAATGAAAGCAATGTCTAGAGAAAGAAAGGAATTTTCTGGTGAAAAAAGGCGTATTTTCTCTTAGGGATAGACCATAAGGCAGGCTGGCTAGAACTTGGTGCAATGTGAGGGATCCTCCTGGCGGCAGTGGCTGAGGAGAGATGGTGAGGCTTGCATTGAAGGCTGTGCCTGTTGTTGCTGCTGGAGCGCACCCCAGCTGTGAGCATCAGCAGGTGAGCTAGGGCAACTGAAACAGGGTGAATAGGATAACAGCAGGGAGAAAAGCTGGGAGGGCCGGCAAGGACCACATAGTCCAGTAGGCCTTGTGGTTTCCTCGGCCTGGAATGTGGTTGTGCAGAGGGGTTTATCTATTTGAACTTTTCATTTTTCTTTCTTTCTTTTGGAGAGGTTTTTGCTATAGGGCACGTGTGCTCACCAGAAAGACAGAGAATGACAGAGAGACAGAAAGTGAGAAATCAGCCCCCGGGGAAATGGCCACACCGCAATCCCTTCTCCTCTATTCTCCTCTTGGGATCTTGGGCATGCACGCACATGCGCCCAGCATGAATTTAAGCCACCAGGTCCAGGACCCCAATTGCAGTCGGTTGCATGGGAGTCCAGCAACATAGCCATTACACTAACTGGTGGTCCCAACCTTTTCAAATAACTTATTTTAAGGTATTTCCTGACTGATGTATGATGTGGGAAGAAGAATGGAATCAAAGACACCACCAAATTTTTGGCCTTGATTTGACCGAATCGAGGTTTTGGTTCTATCTAATGGTCATTAATTACAGACTTCTGACTATATTCTTCTGAATGAACTCTACAGTGTCCTCATTCAAAAGAGTGCTAAGTCTCATTATCTAATCACATTTCATTGGTTAATGTTGAATAGATAGTCAATGAAATTGGATTTCTTATGAGGTTGAGTTTTGGGAAGTAAAGCAGTACTCCACATTTGTAATGGTTAAACGTTATTTATAGTCAGCCTAACATCCCAATATATTCAAAAAATGTAAACCTTCATTTCTATCATCCATTATATTACCTTTCCTTTCTAACCTTGGGTCGTTTGTAATCTTATTCAAATGAATGAAGTGTATTTGATTCAGACTACTGCTAAGTTCCTGAAGGGTGAAGGGCACTGAATCAGGTTACTGAAGACCTGGCTATAGATTCATCCATCCATTTACAAAACTAAGCATCTACCGTATGCCAGACACTTCTCTGGACACTTGGGATACAGTAGCAAACTAAACAAATATCCCTGCCTTTTGGCACTTCTATTCTAGTGGGAGAAGAAAGACAATAAAGTGACTGAACAAAATCTGTCAGGTAGTGTTGTGGAAAAACCAGATAGGAGATGAAGAAAGTGAATGCTGGACTGGGAGCAGTTACGAGCCTCAGTAGGAGAGTCAGGGGGGTCATGTTAACTTGGTCTCATTCATTGCTGGTGTTTCATTGTGGTTCTGCCAGATGAGTGTCAACTCAAATTGTGCTATTATTCATCATCAACTTCCCCATCTAATGTATTGAGACTTAATTTTTGAGTTTACTAAATGCCTGCTAAATTCAGGATAATACCAGCAGAGTAGGGTAGTCCTTTAATATATAATATATGGAGTACTTTTAAAATATTGTTTTACATGATCCTTCAATCTGGGAGGGGAGGGTGGGACAGGTAGTCTCACTATGACAGTCACACCAGCTGTTTAGTTAATAGCCCACACTTAGGGGGTGCAAATATACTGTTCAGCGGTAGTATTGCTGTGGCCCTTGAGGACGAGTTTAGTCTACAGGTGTGTTGGGTCTTTAGAGTCTCTTACAAACTTTAGTCATCAATATTAAAAACTTAGGAAATGGCATGCCAATGTTCAGATTTCTTGTGTACACATGTGCGCACACACACTTTTATGTAAAGCTTAAGCAGTACTGGGCTGGCCTTTTCCAGAGGCAACAATTGAACAATTGGCTGGAGCTACATGGTGCAGCTTGGTCTGGGCAAGGTGTGCTCTCTTCAGTTTGCCGTAGCCTCCCACAGCCTGTGTTCGAATGTTTGAGGCTGTGCCCAGTTATGTACCCAATGGCCCCATTAGGATTTGTGGTTCCTTGTCTATTGTCTACCTCAGTTTGACGAGCTTTTAACCAGATAAAGTTTATTATTTGGCATTACTTGGGCTGATTCCATGGCCTGGTGGTTAAGGCACCTGGATCCTACATGGCCAGCTGTGTGATTCGAATCCGGGATCCAGCAGCTTAAGAAACACACTGGGCACTTGTGCATTCTCCAGATCCCTAAAGGTAGGAGAGATGGAGGAAAATACTGTTGTGCCCTTGCCCCATGGTGGGTACTTTCTCCTCTTCTTCTCTTTGTTTCTCTCTGTCAAGCACATGTGCCCTCTAGGAAAAAATTAAAAACGAAACCCTCTCAGATTGATGATTCATTCTAGAAATTTGCTGAGAAATGAACATTTTAGATTCCTGGCTGCTTGTAACCTCAAAAATCTACTTTACTTCTATTAAAGATTGGCCAAATTCTTGTTTCCCTCCAGACCCTTGAATTTTTCTTCATTTACATTATTTCTCAAATATTATTATTCATGGTCCTGAGGTTATGTGTATTAGTTTGGTACTCTAAAATTAATTCACTGAGCTTTTGTTAATTTGTATTTGAAGTTTTTTTTTTTTCATTCTTTATAGTTTGAAGATGCCTTCTCCTTCTATTTCTATTTCTCTCTGACTCGCTCACTTTCTTTTCAATCAATGTGTTATACTCTGTTATTCCATATATTGAGAAATAGGTCCTATGGCCAACGATGTTGGAAAAATGGTGAGGCACCAACAAAGGGCATCAGAAACAACCCAAGAACCAGTAGGTGTGAGAAAGGTGGCAGACCCACACTATCAAGCTTGAGTAGGCTCCCCACTGATGCTGTTGGCAGCTGACCCAGTGTGGCAACTGTCTGATTAGCGGTGATCCCAGAGCCAAGCTTGTCCTGAGGGAAAGGACACTGGATGGGATGTGGCCAGCAGAGCCTCCACCTGATCCAATCATTAATACCAGACCCAGATTTCCTTCCAATTCCTGTTTTTCACATTTGTGTTTCAAATCCCCAATTAATATACCACAGAGTCTGAATCCCTTCTCTTCCCAAGAGAGATGAATAGATCTCATCATACAGGAGATAGCATACAAAATGTGTAGGCCTCTAGATGTGGATTAACTTCCAAAAAGATAAACTTCGAAAAGGCCTAGGAGTTTCTTCTTCAATGACTACCCTTCTGGCCTTCCCTTTCTTCCTTTAGTGATCTCTGCTCTAATCTTAGAACCAGCCCCATTTATGCTGAGTGTAGTGGCAACTTTTCTACTGTCCTTCACAGCAGATCTTTTCTTTTTTTTTTTTTTTTTTGAGAAGTTTTTGCTATAGGGCGCGTGCACTTGCCAGAAAGACAGAGAGAGACAGAAAGCAAGAAATCACCCCCCCAGGGGAGATGGCCATGCCGCAATCCCTTCTCCTCTATTCTCCTCTTGGGATCTTGGGCACGCATGCATAAGTGCCTAGTGTGAGTTTAAGCCACCAGATCTGGGACTTGAACCATGGTCGACTACATGGGAGTTCAGCGACATAGCCATTACACTAACCGCTGGCCCCTCACAACGAATCTTCACAGTGGAATAGATATATTACAAGAAGAAGTCTCATGGCTTTATTCAACCTAACCCAAATTAGGTTTTATGAGTTGTAGCTCAGTCTTCCCTTAGGCCAGTAGCCTTGCTCCTTCCCCCTGGCTCATTGATTATGTGTCTGGGTCCATCTTGTGTCATCTCGAAGTTTACCCCTTGATCAACCCTTCAGAGCCACCCAAGCCCAGTAACCTCTCCCAGCATCTCTCTCTCTTTTGTGTTTATTCTCTAGGTCCTGGTGTTAAAAGCACTCAGTTGCAACTGCCTTCTCCAGCGTCTGTCTCATAACCTCTCTGCCTCAGAAGTTACAGCCCTTAGTCTCATCTGATTTTTTCTTCCCTACTTTAGCTGAAAGTTTTATAGTTCTCTGAATTTATGCACTTAATCTTTTCTTTTGTCTTCTTATTTTAGCAAGCAATGTGGCATCTAAATCCCAGTTTTACTCTGATTATTCTCTTCCACATAAGACCCTACTATGTGATACATAATAACCACTTAGAAACTGGGTTATGGTAGAGGGAGTGAATTACCATCTCCAATTTCTGTTTTGAGCAAAGTAGTGTGAGAGGGTGGGAGTTGCTGCTGGGATCCTGGAGTGGTGTGGGGTGGGTGGGGATGGGGGTGGTTGAGACCCTAATAAAAGTTTGGGTCCTTGTCCTTTCCTTCCCAGTATGGCCTCTGGAAGTTCACCCTTCAGAGACCTAATTTTCACATTTAACGAACATAGATGATTTGCTCAACCAGGCTCATGAGATGGATTCTGGAGGAGATCATAAACCCCTTCTTGCTGAGCAGAAATGAGTATCACCATGAGAGATAACAAAGTGAGGCAAAATCCAGAAAGGCCAGTTAAGAGAGCCATCCAGGGACAAAAGCCTTGGGAAATGAGGACAGGAGGAAAGAACCAGGACAAATGCATTCATTCCAGTTTTGTCTTTAGCCAGCTCACCCTCGATGGATGCAGTGCGTGGAGGAGACAGGAGCCTTCTTCAAGCCTACCCTGGCGGCCTTGTTTGTTCATGAAGCCTTTGACCCGAACACCAGAAGTGCTGTATGTGAGGGCTCTTCTTAGCCCACATCCCTCCACCTCTTTCCACCTTACCCACCCTGCCCTAGTTCTGTTAACTAGGCTCTTCTCAGTGGCATACATGGTGAGAAAGTCAAGCAGTTGCAGAGAGTCCACTGAGAGAGGACCAGATGGCCCCCTGGAGCAAACACAGTTCAGCGGCAGGACTCAAAGTATCCACAACATGAATTAACTTGGAGAAGTCGCCTGACTTTCTTGGTCTTGTGTTTCTTCAACCATAGAATAAGAACATTGAACTCCAGGACCTCTAAGGCTTTTCTCTGTTTACCTAAGATTTATTAACACATGAAACAACATGAGAAGGGATGATGTAATCTTGAAGAGGGCAAATAAATAACTACTGAATACTTTTGGAGTGCCTACCACCTGCCTGGGATTCCTGTAAGCACTTTACATAGAATACATTAATTCCTAATTTTATAGAAAAGATAACCGAGGTACAGAGATGTTAAGTGACTTGCCCAAAGTCATGCAACTACCAATAGCACAGTCAGGATTTGAACTCAGGCAGCCTGATGCCATAGCCTAAGCTGCTGATGTTTTCTTTCATTTTTCTTTACCAAGAAAGGATGCACAAAGACAGTAGATGTCTAGAAAAGCAGTAACTACACATTCAGGCTGTGAAGGAGGGACGATCCCAACTTATTGGAAAGTGGAGAACTCAGGAGAAAGAGAATGCATGCTTGAGGAAAAGGGTGTGAAGGCAAGGCCAAGAGAAAGTAGAGAGGGCAGCCCTCATCCTCATCCCTCATCCTCATCTCTTCTGAGATCTTCCCTTTCTTGGGAAGTTCCTAGGGCCAAGGCCCCTTCTGAGTCAGGTGCTGTGGGCAGGGCCAGATCCAAGGCTGATTCTGATTCTGTTTTTCTACTCCTGGGGCTCTCGCCCACACAGGCCATGGAACTATTCACTGCCGTCAAGGATGCCCTCATCTCTCGCTTGCAAAGAGTTTCCTGGCTAAATGAAGAGACCCGGAAAGAGGCCCAGGACAGGGTAAGGCCATTCACGAAGGCCAGCATAGGTGGAATAGAGTATGGATCAATACATGACGAATGGTGGACAGTGTCAAAGGCATACATTTAGCATGAGAATCAGCAGACTGTCCATTGTGGTGACAATATGAAAAGCTGGGACTAGTGCAGTGAGCAGGAGGAATTCCCTCTGAGAGTCTCAGAGGAAATGCTAGGTTCTTACTGCCTTCTATTTCTTTCCAGGTCACCCACCTGCAGGTGAAGATGGGGCCTCTAGAATGGGTCCTAAAGCCAGAACCAGCCAGACAACAATACGGAGATGTGGGTCCCTACTTTTTTTTTTTAAGTTTGCTACAGGGTGCATGTATTTGCGTGTGCGTGCACACACGCACACGCACTAGAGAGAGAGAGAGAGAGAAATAACTCCAGGGAGGATGGCCACACCATAGTCCCTTCTCCTCTAGTCTCCTCAGGATTTTGGTTTTACATGCACACATGCCTGGTGTGCTTTTCAGGCTGCCAGGTCTGGGACTCAAACCATGCAACCAGCCATGTGGGATGCAGCACTTTTACCTCCATGCCAACTGCTGGCCCAGTGTCCCTGCCTTTTTCACCTGCTCCTCAGTCCTTTATTTCTCTTTACCTCCCTGACCCTCCTGAGCCTTTGTGGAATAGTCTTCCCTGGGTGATTGTAGTCACCCCCTTCCTTGCCCTGGTGCTGGGAAATGTAATGGGGGAATATCCACAATGAGGGACTTACCAGCAGAACAGAACCTTTTTGAGCTATGAGGTATGTACATGCATATACGTGCATGCATTCTTGTGACTTGCCCCAGTGTGTTCATCTGTGTGCAGACACATGTGGTGATGCTGCATGGTGCTGGTCTCCACTAATCTGTGAGTGTCTGTGGGCTTACCTGTTTTAGCCTAAGCTACTGATGTTTTCTTTCATTTTTCTTTACCAAGAAAGGATGCACAAAGACAGTAGATGTCTAGAAAAGCAGTAACTACACATTCAGGCTGTGAAGGAGGGACGATCCCAACTTATTGGAAAGTGGAGAACTCAGGAGAAAGAGAATGCATGCTTGAGGAAAAGGGTGTGAAGGCAAGGCCAAGAGAAAGTAGAGAGGGCAGCCCTCATCCTCATCCCTCATCCTCATCTCTTCTGAGATCTTCCCTTTCTTGGGAAGTTCCTAGGGCCAAGGCCCCTTCTGAGTCAGGTGCTGTGGGCAGGGCCAGATCCAAGGCTGATTCTGATTCTGTTTTTCTACTCCTGGGGCTCTCGCCCACACAGGCCATGGAACTATTCACTGCCGTCAAGGATGCCCTCATCTCTCGCTTGCAAAGAGTTTCCTGGCTAAATGAAGAGACCCGGAAAGAGGCCCAGGACAGGGTAAGGCCATTCACGAAGGCCAGCATAGGTGGAATAGAGTATGGATCAATACATGACGAATGGTGGACAGTGTCAAAGGCATACATTTAGCATGAGAATCAGCAGACTGTCCATTGTGGTGACAATATGAAAAGCTGGGACTAGTGCAGTGAGCAGGAGGAATTCCCTCTGAGAGTCTCAGAGGAAATGCTAGGTTCTTACTGCCTTCTATTTCTTTCCAGGTCACCCACCTGCAGGTGAAGATGGGGCCTCTAGAATGGGTCCTAAAGCCAGAACCAGCCAGACAACAATACGGAGATGTGGGTCCCTACTTTTTTTTTTTTAAGTTTGCTACAGGGTGCATGTATTTGCGTGTGCGTGCACACACGCACACGCACTAGAGAGAGAGAGAGAGAGAAATAACTCCAGGGAGGATGGCCACACCATAGTCCCTTCTCCTCTAGTCTCCTCAGGATTTTGGTTTTACATGCACACATGCCTGGTGTGCTTTTCAGGCTGCCAGGTCTGGGACTCAAACCATGCAACCAGCCATGTGGGATGCAGCACTTTTACCTCCATGCCAACTGCTGGCCCAGTGTCCCTGCCTTTTTCACCTGCTCCTCAGTCCTTTATTTCTCTTTACCTCCCTGACCCTCCTGAGCCTTTGTGGAATAGTCTTCCCTGGGTGATTGTAGTCACCCCCTTCCTTGCCCTGGTGCTGGGAAATGTAATGGGGGAATATCCACAATGAGGGACTTACCAGCAGAACAGAACCTTTTTGAGCTATGAGGTATGTACATGCATATACGTGCATGCATTCTTGTGACTTGCCCCAGTGTGTTCATCTGTGTGCAGACACATGTGGTGATGCTGCATGGTGCTGGTCTCCACTAATCTGTGAGTGTCTGTGGGCTTACCTGTGTGGGTTCAAATGTACCCATCAGCGCCTGTCAGTGTGCATCCTTACTTGTATCTGCACACCCAAGTTGCCTCCTGTGTCCTCCCCAGATACAACTTGGACCCAGCTTCCTGCAGTCCTTCCTGAGCTGTGCCCGATCCCTCCGAGCCAGAAATGTCCAGAGATTTTTGCTGCCTTTTCCCCACCTCAGGTACAAGAGCAGAGGAGACACAGACACAGATCTCAGAAATACCCTTCTGAGAGTCAGGTGCCGTGGGCAGAGCCAGACCCAAGGCTGATTCTGATTCCATTTTTCTACCCCTGGGGGACTCACCCTCACAGACCATGGAACTATTCACTGCAATCAAGGATGCCCTCATCTCTTGCTTGCAAAGAGTTCCCTGGCTAAATGAAGAGACCTGGAAAGAGGCCCAGGACAGGGCCTTTTTCACGATTAGGAACAGGCAGGAGGGGAAGCTGGGCTTAGAGCTGGAAAAGGAGCTGATAGTAGTTGGGAGGGACTGCATATGTCCAGGGCAGAGGTGGTGCTGGTGTTCATTTATGTGTTCTTCCCTCAGGTGGCAGGTGTCGCCCTGGGAGGTCAATGCTTACTATTCAATTTCTGACGATGTGATGGTCTTCCCAGCTGGACTCTTCCAACCCCCATTCTTCCATCCTGACTACCCAAGGTATGGATCATTCTAAGAGGAAGTACAGGGAGTCACCAAAGGGATTGATGGGTGTTAAGATGGATGGGACTTGTGATTAGAGAGTTGGAATCAAAATGTTGAAGGATTCTGGGGTAAGAGAATCCCTTGTCTCTCCAGAGCCGTGAACTTTGGCGCTGCTGGCAGCATCATGGCCCGTGAGCTGGCGCACCTCTTCCACCAGCTCTGTGGGTAATAGGGCCATTGGGAGGTGGGGCTGTAGGAAGTCCAAGGGAAGGCCTCAGTGGAGGTCTGAAGGGAAAGGGAGAGCATCTGAAGGCTCTAGGTGGGACAAACCTGGAAGCTCTGCAGTGCTCCTGAGAACCAGGTCAGTCTGCAGTACCCACACTTCCCTAGTGTGTGGGTCTCTCACTAGCTCATTCTCTTGCTCCTTGTCAACAGTACTCCCTGGGGGCTGCCCAGCCTGTGACACTCATGCCCTACAGGGGGCACGCATCTGAAAGCTCTAGGTGGGACAAATCTGGAAGCTCTGCAGCTCCTGAGAACCAGGTCAGTCTGCAGTACCCACACTTCCCTAGTGTGTGGGTCTCTCACTAGCTCATTCTCTTGCTCCTTGTCAACAGTACTCCCTGGGGGCTGCCCAGCCTGTGACACTCATGCCCTACAGGGGGCACTCCTGTGCCTGGAACGCCATTATGCTGCTTTCCCATTACCCAATGGATCGTCCTTCAGTGACTCCCACACACTCCTAGAGAATGCTGCAGATGTGGGGGGGCTGGCCATCGCACTAAAGGTAACGCATATGCCAGGGCCACAGTCTGTTTTTACCAGCAGGCTAAAAGCCTCATCCTCAGGTTTGCTCTCCATCATCCTTTATGCAAACATAGTTGCATCGCTTTCTGCCCTTCACATTGCCACTGAACAGATGGCAGCTTGAGGGTACCCCCACTTCCTATCCCTCATTCCCTACTTTCTAGGACAATTATAGGTCTCTAGCAAATACCCTATCTACTGACCCAGACCAGTGTGTGCAGAATTTGTGAAAAAGGGCCATCAGCTGTTTTGGGATACTGTGTAGAAGGCATTGAACTTCCAAATGACCACACATCTAGAGCTTGAGGGCTACTCTCATCCTGCCCCCATATCCAGGCATACACCAAGAGGCTATTACGGTACCATGGGGAAACCACCCTACCCAACATGAACCTCAGCCCTCAGCAACTCTTCTTCCGAAGCTATGCCCAGGTAGGAAGCTGCCACCTCCCACCACATCTTGCTTCATATCAGGTAATTCCCTATTACTAAGATGCAAAGAACCTCTTGTCCTCAAAACACCCTCCCCAAATATTCCAACCCTCTGCCACAAATGTCCCTACTGTTATCTTTTCTCACTTGACCCCTCAGAATTACTCTTCAGGTTATTATAGGTTCTTGACCAAATTTATCCCTCCAGCATACTCAAAAAGAAGAAAAATTTCTATTCCCAGGTCCTTCCATATGATGAACTCAACATTTTTTCTTCTCTCATGTCCAACATACAGACCCCATAGGCCAATCCTATGGCCTACTGGTTAATGAAGCTGGATCCCATGTGGTGGCCAACTGTGGTTCAAACCCCAGCCTCAGTGGCTTGAAAGACATGCTGGTCAGACATGTGAATTGTGCCCCAAATCTTCTTTGAGGCACAAATCTTTTTTTCTTTTCTTTTTTCTTTTCTTTTCTTTCCTTTTTCTTTTCTTTTCTTTTTTTTTCTTTTTTTTTTTTTTTGAGAGTTTTTTCTATAGGGTGCATGCACTCACCAGAAAAGACAGAGAGAGAAATCGAGAAATCACCCCCACACACAAGGGGTAGCCAAGCCAAAATCTCTTCGCCTCCATTCTACTGTCAGGATCTGGGACACACACGCACACGCACCTGGTGTGAGTTTAAGCCACCGGGTCTGGGACTCTATCTGTGGTCGACTATATGGGAGTCCAGGGACATAGCCATTACACCAACTGTTGGTCCATGCCCAAAATCTTAACAGGATGGAGAACTGGAGGGATTTGCACCATTGATCCCTCTCTTTCTAGGTCTTTCCATCTCTCTTTGACAAGTGCATACCCTTTGGCAGTTAAAAAAAAATTATATAGATATAGATATATACCCCTTGAAAAAATATATTGAGACCCCTGCAACAGGCTGTTTGCCACATTCCTCCTCAGAACACCCATTCCCAGGATGGTCTCAAGTTGCTATAACTCCCTTAAGTGCTCCTCAACAGACACACTCCGCATTCTGCAGCACACTTACAGGCTCTGAGAGAGCTCCTGCACTAGACTCCACCTCTCTGTCATGTATATATGGTAAATGGCACATGGCTGGGTTCTTCCCAGACTCCTTTTGTTAGATTAAATGACTTCCAAACACAAACACTACAAGTTGCCCTTTGAGCATCTGTCCACTGCTCCCTGCTTGTCTGCTCTGCCATCACCCTTATTCACTGGTTCTGCCTGGTTCTCCTGATCCTAATCAGAACCTTCTCGTTTCCTTACCTTTTGTGGCCCTCTCTTCCTCCTCAGGTGATGTGTAAGGGCCTTAGCTCCCAGGACTCTCAGGACGCCCACAGCCCCCCGATCCTGCGAGTCCACGGTCCCCTCAGCAACAGCCCAGCCTTTTCCAGGCACTTCCACTGCCCACGTGGTGCCCTCTTGAACCCCTCCAGCCACTGCCAAGTCTGGTAACCCAAGACATCGCCATCGAGTTCATCAACATCCAGGGAACTGGGGCAATATCTCCTCTGCCATTTCTTCCCAAAATTAAAAGCCAGCACTTGGCTTCCTCCTGTCTCTTAATGATTGTCTCCTGCTATGTCCTATGCCTAGAAGTCAGGAAAGATAAGTGGGAAGAATGCCAAGAATGGTTTTATGGACACTAGAAAAAGCCAGCTATTGGTGAACTTGTGGGTCTAAAGATCAGTCGGTGGCCAAAGGTCAGACAATTAAACAAACTAGTTAGAGATAGAGAGGCTTGGGTTAAGGCTCAGAAGGCTGCTCCCAATTGTCTTCAGGATTTTATTGCTATTTCTTTGTTGCTGTTTTCTCCCCCTAATGTGCCATCTTGAATAAAACTGGGAAAGGCCTGGGAAAGAGAGAAGGGCTTGGGTCTGGTGTCTCTGACCCTGGGAAAGGAAGCCCTAAGTTGAGGCAGGCAGACAGGTGGGTAGGCACAGGTGAGGGAAAATACTGTCTTCAGTGCTGCCCCCTGAAGACAGGAGACATTGACAAGAGGCAGGAAGCCATGTGTTCACCTCTTGTGGGAGCAGTGACCTGGAGTCCATTGGGGAGAGAGGGTCAGTACGCGATCATGAAACCAAGGTAGATATCCAGGTCTTCATCCAGGAACCAGGCCACCACCTCAGCCTCAATGTCCCTCATAAAAAAACCACGATGCTGGCCAGATTCAAGCAGAAGGCGAGGTCCAGAAGGTGGTCGTGAACAGTTGCTGCTTTGGATGTCGTGTCTTCCTCCTGCTGCACCATGTCCATCACCTGCCACATCTCACCCACAGAGGAAGCCATAAAGTGCTCTTCAAACTGCTCTTGATCCTGATCTAGAACAAGGGAGAGGGCCAGGGACTGACAGCCCTGATCCTGACTGCCCCTACCCCATCCTGGCCTGATCCAGAAATGGAAGGAGGTGAGAATATGGGGAAAAAACATGAGGGCTTTTGGCTCAATTGCCCAGATCCTCAGTTTTAACCAGAGGTGATACTCCATTTGGGTGTCTTTGAACCTGTGTTCAACCACAGCCTCAACACACACACACACACACACACACACACACACACATACACACCTAACCCTGGCTGCCTCCTCCAAAGTGTTATACCATTTAGGAAGTGAGGGACCACCTTGAAGTATGAAGAAAACTAGATTCTCTTCCCATACAAATGCATCTGGGCTCACACACACACACGTACACAGAGGTTGTGTGCAATTTCAGCTGGTCCCCCAGTGTATCCCGGCTTGGAGCGCTGCTCCAGACCCTTTTACGTGACTCTACTGTTTCATACTACAATAACAGGGGACTGGAGTTGGTCATCTTAACCCACACCCCCCTCAAATCTCACTCTTGCTAATGATCTGTCTAGGTCCTAACTTTCAACAGAGGAAATTACTTCCAAACTTTTCCCCCTTCACTGCCTACCTGTAGAGGGTGTTTTCTCATTCTGGCTCCTCTCGTCAGGGCCTAGGTTCCCCTTCTGAAGCTTCATCCCCTTCACCCGCAGCAGCAGCAGGATGACCAGGAATGCTGTCCTGCAGAGCTGTGAGCCCAGAGGAGTCATGGGCCTGCCCACCCACTGCCCCTCAGTGCTCGGCAGGCTCCCGCCTCCCGCCCCTATCTCTGTCCCAGCACTTACCCCTTTTCTGTGCCACCTTTTCCCCTTCCCTTCCATAGGACCTCTGATGTCATGAGCTCTGTGACATCACAGCCATGGTCTGACCCTCATTCCAGTCATCTGGAATATTCCATCCATTGTCAGGCAAGGAGTTGCCAGCAAGGGGTGGCAGCGGCTTCTAGGCTGACCACAGTGGTTTATCCCGTAGGTAGTGATAAAAGTGACTTAAGGTTTGCAAAGTACTTTCACATCCACTGCACTATTAGATCCACATAGCAACCAGGACTCGAAAGTAATAGCATTCTCATCTCTGTTGTGTAGATGATGAGACGGAGGTCCGCAGAAGCAATGGCTCACCCTCTCAAGATCATGTGAACACTAAGGGGCAGAAGAGCACTCATGATCTTTCTTGTTTCCAAATATGACATTTTCACACTATTCTATGCAGCTTTTCTCTACGGAGGCTTGTTTGTGGAAGAAGAGGCACAGACCAGACATGAGAGCCAAGATCCTCATGTCCTAGGCAGGAGCCTTCTGTACTACACAGAACAAGGGGTGTCAAAAAAAAAAAAAAAAAGAGAATGAGGAGGGCCAAGGGGAAGGGTAGAAAGGGTACATTCTGTGTGTGTGTGTGTGTGTGTGTGTGTGTGCATGCATGTGTGTGTGTGAGAGAAAGAGAGACAGAGGGACAGAGACATACATAACAACAGTGTGTGAGAGAGAGAGAGTAGGAGACAGTTTAAAGCACTAGAAACAGAGCAAGCAGGTGCCTTGCGTCCAAGCACAAATCATTCTTTCATCCTCTCCTCATTCTCCCCTAGTCTTCCTCTTTCCTAGCCTTTGTCTTCTTGTACCTCCAGACTGAAGCATCCTCTTCTCTGATTTTCGCCCTTTCTATACTCTCAGACACAGAGAAAAACTGTGAGGGGATCATTTCCAAGCTCCTTGCTTGAAGGAAGGAGTTAGAAGCTGCAGAGAGAAGGCAGAGTGGCAGGGAGTCAGGATCCTAAATAATGGATCTGGAGAAAACCTTCCTTGGCACCCCAGTGTCTATCCTGCCCTGAACCTGGTGTATGCACAGACCTGTTGGCAGTAATGGGCTGTGGTTAATGACCATCTTCTTCTTGGGCCAGAGATGGATGGAGGCTCTGAACTCAGAAGACAGGATGAAGGACTTCCCTGGAAAACGAGAAACAGAGACACAAGCTATGATCTATGTGCAGGTGCTAGGACAGGTGGAAGAAGTTCAGTCACACCTGAACTATCATAACCAACTAACGTCACCCCTGCTCATCCAGGCATACCATACCTGAATGAAACATACAAATGCAGGTGCAACAGCACATGCAGACACGTGGGCCTTTCTATAGGAGCAAACTGCAGAAATAGAAATGCATGAAGAGATTCCTTCCTGTGGAAACACACTCACATGGATGCCCTCCCGCAGGTACCTCTCACATGCCATGCCTCCTGGTGATCCAACCCGGGAAACTAGAGGTGGTTTAGGAGGTCACTTTATGATGGGGGAGAAAAGATTCAAGTATGCAGGTGACCTGTTCACTCCTACCTTGCACTCACTGACCTTCAGATCCAGAAAACAATGTTGAATGGAAAAAAAAATTGCTAATCTCCTCCTGGCTATTTTGGGGGAGGAGCCTCCTGGTGCTCTGGCAAGAAGAGAGGCCATCTTCAGCTCTGTGGGTATGATGCAGAGGGCAGCTGGGGGAATGTCTCCCAGGGGCAGGCTAAAGTGGAAAGAACCGGGTTGTACTCACATTATTACTTCCACCTTCTCACTGCCCACCTGCTTGACTCCCCAGTGTTGAAAGTGATACATCCTTGAAGGGAATCAGGAATTTCTTAATTTCTTTTCTTATTCCAAAAGCATAAAATATAGAAACATGCAAAAACAAGAACTATAATTCCATCATCCAATGTTAGTCACTATTAATGTTTTAAAGTACAGTATTTGAATCCTCTTCCTAGATGGCTGTGGGCATGTGGGATGGAGTGTATTTCTTAAAAACTGAAATCTAGGTATTCTGTCTTCTCTTCCTTCTCACATCAGAATGAATGAGAGGCCAGGTTGCTTTGGCATGAGGGTACTTTGGGACTTGTAGTGTAGTGAGGTGCCCCCAGCCCAGTTCTCCTGGGAGGCATTACTGATTTGCATTAAACTTTGAGGCATCATGGAGGGAAGCTGCTACCTGCAAATGAGGGGTATAGGTGTCCTTGCCTGCCAAAAGCTGAGAGAGAACCAGGAAAAGAGGAGACAAAAGGAAAAATAGGATGACCATGTAGAAAACCACAAAGATGACAGGAGTGGTGGGGAGGAAGTCAGGGGACAGGAGAGACTCCCGATGTCTGGTCTACCAGTTGGACAGGTGGACAACTTGGTTCCTATCCAGGCAATTTGTGTATGCTTTTCCCATTGGGGAACACAATGCAGGAATAGAAGTGCAGGTGAGAGGGTGAAGACCCAGGCATAGAGGCCCACACACTGTTTCCACCCCCTTTCCTCCATAGACCCTTGGATGATGCCCTTGGCAAAGAGCCTCTGCACACCTGCTCTGTGCGGCTCTGACCGGGCAGCCTCCTCCACTGGCAGCCCCTCCCTGCTCTACCCACTGCAGGACTAGCTTTATGGGTTGAGTGTTTCCTTGGCAGGTGCTCCTTTCCTAGCCTGCCTCTGCTTATCAGGGCATCTACAACCCCCACCTCCACCTTATCACTCCCTCCATCTCCTTAGACTGGAAGTTCCAAGGCTTCAGAGACCATTACCAACCCACACAGCCCCTACCTCCAGAGAGGCAGAAAAAATGCCCCACAAGGTGACCCCCTCCCCACTCCCTCAATAATAATGTGATTCCTCTGCATCTCACTTCCTCTTCTTTCCTTATTTATTTTCCCTTCAATTTTTGTCTTTATCTAAAGGCTATTTTCCCTATCCCTTCATCTCTGGAGTAGAGCTCCATTTCTTACAGCAAAAGAAAGGGGACTCCTGAAGACCCCCAAGGGGAGGGTCCTCAACATGTATCCACCCAAGTGTCATATGTTCATCCTGAAGTTTCCTGTTGGGGGTCAAAAATGATACCCCGAAGTAAGTGCTTTGACACGCAGAGAACTTGGAACGTAAAACACTAGAAATCTCAGAAGCAAAGTCTCAGTGACCTTCTCCTGTCCTTCAGCCTCTTATCCCTCTTTCTCCCCCAAAACAAAGTCACAAAAACCAGAATTCTTTTTCCCCAAGTGAGTCATAGAAACTAGAAATGCTTTTCTCCAAAGAAACCATAAATGCTACCTAGGAGGTTCACTCTGTCCCTTCTCCCTTGAAGACCCTCATTCTAGAGGGGTCCTTTTCCCTACTCTGGAGGAAAGAATGTGTGCAGAGAGGCCAACAAGAATCTGAACAGACAGGCCTTGCTGGGTTTCCCCTGTTTACTACCAGTAGATCATACCCTTTGTCCAGTTGTGTTTCTACCTGGCTGACCATCCTTCATGGAACTGAAGCATAACGATTTTCTCTGGGTCTTTAGGTCTTTACTTCTGAAGGCTCCCAAGTCAGGCAGTACTTTGATGAAATAAATTTGCCATGTTTTTCTCTAGTTAACCCTGTCTTCGTTATAAGAGTGTCAGCCATGATCCTTATTATGGGTAAGGGAAATGATCACAGCTTCTGGCTCCTATATTCTCTACAAGTAACAAAGTCCAGAGAGTGATCCAGCTCCAGTTTTGCAGCTAGCTGTGATGTTTTGGGCAATCACACTCTCTGTGCTCTGTCTACTCATTCAGAAAATACAGAATTCCTACTTCATTCCCATTTGTCCCAGAGGTCTATTGAGTGCTTACAACTCAATAATATTGATAGACCTCTTTGAAAACATTCAGGTAGAGAAATACATGCTATCATAAAATGGAATGATACACGCTGTCTTACTTTACTCATGCCTCTGTGGTCTTATTGCTGGAAAGAGTCCAGAACGTGGAATCAAGATGTTTTTGTCTTCCAGCTCCACTCAGTTCCTGCTACTGTGAAAACATGGGGCCCCCTGGAGGTCTCCTCTGACCTGTATCCTAGGTACTGGAGGGCAGGAAGGAGTTTCACGGCAGAGGTTGGCCTGCAAAGGGAGGGTCAGAAACCTTCCTTTGTGGTGAGTGCTGAGGAAGCTGCAGAGTTGAAGACCGAAATGACCCTAGGAGTAGAGTGACTAGATAGGATTCAGAGAAGCAGCCCCTAGGGTGTTTTGAGCCTGCAACTGGAAGGAGAATCAACAGTGGTTGAGCTCTTTGACACTTGTTTTACAAACCATTCTGTGAAACAGTGTCATTGTTACTCATATTTTACAGGTTAGAGGACAGGCTCAGAAAGTTCACCTAACTTTGAGAGGAGTAAGAGCGGGGTTTAAGCCAGAATCTGCTCGATTCCCAGGCTAGTGTCTTTCTTTCTCACTCTCCTGCACCCCACTAACCGGGCACTTTGTCTGTGGACTCACCTTCTGGGCTGTCTCCTTGTTTCCCCTCCAAATTCCTCTGCCCCACCTCTCAGCCTCTCCTGCACTGGTCTCAGCTGCCCCAGCCCATGAAGTTCCCTGCCTCCCTCCCAGCTCCTGGGCGGCTCTGTGCCTGGAGGCTGGACTCTATAAAAGTTCCTCCCCTTCCAGGGAAAGCACCTCTCTCCAGGCAGGGAGCCTAGTCACTTGGTGCACGTGTATGGCAGCTACATCCTCCCCACCAAGCACACGCTGCATGCTGCACACGCAAGTCACACAGGAGATACGCTCATTGAAGAGTCCCAACTCCCAAAAAGCCTGCTTCCTACTCAGCTGCTGCCATCCTACACCTGATCCTTTGACCACATTCCCATAACCCGCTAGTGCCTATAAGAAGACATGAGAGCTCATCCACCCAAGGCAAAGAACCCCTGGATCCAACTTGTGACCTCCTGGTTGGCCAGAGAGCAAGACTGGAACCAGCACCTAGACCAAGTCCTTATGCTGCAACAGAAGAGGTAGGCTCTCCATGGCGCTCGGTTGCGTTGATCCTCAAGCCCTCCAGCATGCTCAGGTCTGCTCCTCTATTCAGCACTCTAGAAGTCGTGCTGGCTGCTAGGATATGCTTTTCTCTTCCAGGCCACTCATTATACAGCCCAGCTGGCCCCGCTCACTAGGGGTGAAGGGGGCGATGTGGGACCACATGGGGAAAGAGGATGACAGCAAGACTCTAACCTGCTTGCCTCATGGGAAGGGCATGAGGGACCCAAAGGGACCAGATAAGGAGGCCAGGGTGCTGGGGTTTGGGAGTGGGCAGGCAGGAAAAGGCTGCTGGAAATCCATGCTAGGTGGGGTGTGGAAATGCCATCCTGTAGTGTTTGAAGCACCTTTTGTTTGGAAGACTTGGTGGAAGAAAGAGTAGGAATGGCACTTGTATGAATGAAAGTCTATTGCTTCGGTAGGGGCACAAGGGCTTTCTTTATGTATCTCCCAGCTGAGAAGGGCAGTCCAGGTGACACTGGAGGGTCCTGAGTTCAGTTCATCTAGTTGAATTGGGCCTACTGTTTGTGGTATGTGTCAGGTTCTGAAGACATGGAACCCAAGTAAGGCTTGCTCCTATTCCTGGACCCGGCAGCTCAGGTGGGACAGGTACGCTGTGGATAGGCCATTTCACAGCTTGGTCTTCATCTCTGAACCAAAAAGCTCAGCTGGGCAAGGCTCCCCCTACAAGTGGTCCTCCTTTGGATGAGTGGGGGACTTGCTTCCCACCCAAGCATTGCCTGGGTATAGAGTGAGCAGACATTAGCAGACCTGGGGTTCAATCAGGGCTGACTCATGGCAGATGCCTTTGCAGCTCCCTACCCCCCCTCCCATTGGCCCTTGTTTATCAAAAGATCTTATGCTGTTGAAGTTCTTGATAATTTGGAACAAGGGGTCTGGCATTTTGATTTGCTCTGGACCTGCCCTGAATGCCTAGTGCCTATAAGAAGACATGAGAGCTCATCCACCCAAGGCAAAGAACCCCTGGATCCAACTTGTGACCTCCTGGTTGGCCAGAGAGCAAGACTGGAACCAGCACCTAGACCAAGTCCTTATGCTGCAACAGAAGAGGTAGGCTCTCCATGGCGCTCGGTTGCGTTGATCCTCAAGCCCTCCAGCATGCTCAAGTCTGCTCCTCTGTAGAGCACTCTAGAATTCATGCTGGCTGCTAGGATATGCTTTTCTCTTCCAGGCCACTCATTATACAGCCCAGCTGGCCCTGCTCACTAGGGGTGAAGGGGGCAATGTGGGACCACATGGGGAAAGAGGATGACAGCAAGACTCTAACCTGCTTGCCTCATGGGAAGGGGATGAGGGACCCAAAGGGACCAGATAAGGAGGCCAGGGTGCTGGGGTTTGGGAGTGGGCAGGCAGGAAAAGGCTGCTGGAAATCCATGCTAGGTGGGGTGTGGAAATGCCATCCTGTAGTGTTTGAAGCACCTTTTGTTTGGAAGACTTGGTGGAAGAAAGAGTAGGAATGGCACTTGTATGAATGAAAGTCTATTGCTTCGGTAGGGGCACAAGGGCTTTCTTTATGTATCTCCCAGCTGAGAAGGGCAGTCCAGGTGACACTGGAGGGTCCTGAGTTCAGTTCATCTAGTTGAATTGGGCCTACTGTTTGTGGTATGTGTCAGGTTCTGAAGACATGGAACCCAAGTAAGTCTTACTCCTATTCCTGGACCCGGCAGCTCAGGTGGGACAGGTACGCTGTGGATAGGCCATTTCACAGCTTGGTCTTCATCTCTGAACCAAAAAGCTCAGCTGGGCAAGGCTCCCCCTACAAGTGGTCCTCCTTTGGATGAGTGGGGGACTTGCTTCCCACCCAAGCATTGCCTGGGTATAGAGTGAGCAGACATTAGCAGACCTGGGGTTCAATCAGGGCTGACTCATGGCAGATGCCTTTGCAGCTCCCTACCCCCCCTCCCATTGGCCCTTGTTTATCAAAAGATCTTATGCTGTTGAAGTTCTTGATAATTTGGAACAAGGGGTCTGGCATTTTGATTTGCTCTGGACATGCCCTGAATGCCTCTGAGCCCCCACACTAGGGCTCTCTGCTTACTCACTAACCCCCACCCCAGGCCCTGCAAGGAACCTTTGACCCTGCATCCCTCCACCCCCACCCCCCTTAGAGTGAAACTCCTAGAGAGCTGGTGGCTTAAGGATTTCCCTCCCCTCTGCTGAGGGACGGTGGGCTAAAGAGCAAGAGAGATGGGGCTTTGTGCAGTGGCTGGGCAGGGGATAAACTCCATACACCCAATCCTGACTGCCCTGGGCTTTGCAGTGACACAAAGCTCATGAGATGGGGCAGGGGTCTGACTTGGTCCTTCCTGGGAGCACTTCCCTAAAAGGCCTAAAAGGCAGACCTGAGGTCAGTCTGTAGATAAAGCTTCTTTAAATAAAAACTTCTTCCCTCTGGCTCCTGGGACCATTGGAAAAGGAATTTGGTGGTGATGGGGGTGGGGGTGGTCATAGGAACCACTCTGTTTTTCAGTCTTCCCCACGGTCCTAGACTTGCCAGACCCTGTGTTCATCTGACGAGCAAGCACACACATGTCTAGTGAGACAGGATCCAGCTTTATCTCTTATTTTGTTCAGATCCAGACAAGGGCAGAAACAAAGATTAACCAACAGAGGTGCTCGAGGGTGAATATCCCAGCCCAGCTGCTCCTGCTCTGAGAAGCCAAATCCGCCACTATCTTTAGTCATAAACATGGTGATTGGACTCTGACATTTCAGAGAGAACACAAGGAACTGGCCCACTGCTCCTCAGCCCAGCAGGCATGTGTATCTAAACAGCTGAAGGGGAAGTCAGCATCTCAGCAGCTCTCAAATTCCATAGATCTCCTAAGCCCATTCCTCTCTCTCTGTCCTGGTCTCTCAGACACTCCTTGGCCAGAGAGCAGGAACAGCAGGCCTGGAAGAAGGGGGCAACACAACGGATGGAAAGGCCTCCTTCATAGCTCCCACTACTCGAGTTCCTGAGGCATTTACTGACATGTTCCAGTCTTAGGTGAATCCAACCAGGCCTGAGGACATTTTCTCACAGATGCCCAGACCACCCATTCCAGACCTCAGCTCTGCTCCCTCAGACACAATGCCCTTCTGCTAACTCTTCACCCAGAGGAGCCACCAGTCCCACCTGCATGTCAGGAGAAATTAGGATAATGCAAATCACATGAGAAGTCCCTGACCCAAGCCTTGTCTGAGTCTACCCTTGGTCACATGAGTCCAGTAGACAACTCTTTCCAGCCTGTCACTGCACACTCTGTAAGTTGTGTCCAGCTAGGATAGATGACATCTCTGATTCTCTCGGCTCTTGGCTTCTCTGAGACTCTGACTCTGCCTGACTTGTGTTCACCTTCCCCCAGGATTCGAGAGTCTCCACTGCTTCGGGCAGCTAAGGAAAATGACTTGTGTGTCCTGAAGAAATTTCTGCTAGACAAAACCAATGACTTTCAACAAAGAGGTAAGATCTCAGTTTAATGGGACTGAGGAGAGGACAGAAGCACCCATCTCTCTGCCCCAAGACTTCAGGATTTTCACAAATCCTGAGTGTGTCTCTGGAACCATGAGCCACTCCCTCTGGGAAATGTTTGGCGTTCCTACTTTATTCCACTCCAGGAGCTCTGGGGGAGACAGCACTGCACATCGCTGCCCTCTATGATAACCTTGAGGCGGCCATGCTGCTGATCGAGGCTGCCCCGGAGCTGGTCAAGGAGCCCACCATGTGTGAACCATTTGTAGGTGAGGAGGCTGCACAGTGATTCAAGATGGAGGAGGTATGAGAGGGTATGCTGTTAGTTGAGGCTCAGACTCTCTCAGGTCGGAGGGAGGAATGCAAGGTTCTGGTCTGGGTTTTATTTCCTGTGTCTTTCTTCAGCCATTTGGTATTTTCTTCCAACCCTCTGTGTTCCCAAAGAAAATCTCTCTCTCTCTCTCTCTCATAGTGACACTAAAGTGGCAGTGAGTACAGCAAACCCCACCTCCCAATAATTAAGGGTAGAGACAGTGAGCCAGGCAGGTGGAAGGATGAATTGACTTTAGTTCTCAGACGACTCTGATGAGGTGAGGGCAGAGGTCTATGAAGGAACATGTAGGGTACTCCTTCAGGGACTCGTAGGATGTGTCCCTGAGGGAATTGGGGATAGAGAGAGATCAAGACTGACAGTCTCTCTGGCCAGGTCACACTGCATTGCACATCGCTGTGGTGAACCAGAATGTGAACCTGGTACGAGCCCTGCTTGCCCACGGGGCCAGCGTCTCTGCCAGGGCCACGGGCACTGCCTTCCACCGCAGCCCCCACAACCTCATCTACTTTGGTAAGAGCCAGGGCCAGGTGGGAGGAAAGGGAGTTAGGAGGTGGAAGGTGGGAAGGGCAAAGGGAGGGTGGGCTGAGCAGGGCCTGGCCCCCAGCTGTATCTGTCTCCATCGGTTAGGAGGCTGTGTTGGGGGGTCAGCCCTTACAGGACATAAAGTCCAACTGCACTCCAACACCTCCGTACCTGTCCCTTCCTCTGGCTCTGCTAAACACGTGTTCCCAAACTGAGCCAAGGTGTGGGAAGGAAGAGGCTGTCACTGGGGGAGACTGCTGTCCCCTCCTGCCACCTCGTGCTCTCCTGCCATGGCTCCCTCTGTGTCCCCAGGGGAGCACCCTTTGTCCTTTGCCGCCTGTGTGGGCAGTGAGGAGATCGTACGGCTGCTCATTGAGCACGGAGCTGACATCCGGGCCCAGGACTCCCTGGGTGAGAGCTGAGGGCTGCAGGGGTGTGAGGGAGGAGCTGGGACAGCCCTCAGGCCAACCACATGGTGGAGATGGGACATCAGGGACTCCAGGGCAGTGGCCGCATGACACCCTGTGTCCTCTTCAGGAAACACGGTGCTGCACATCCTCGTCCTCCAGCCCAACAAAACCTTTGCCTGCCAGATGTACAACCTGCTGCTGTCCTACGATGGGCATGGGGACCACCTGCAGCCCCTGGACCTCGTGCCCAACCACCAGGGCCTCACGCCCTTCAAGCTGGCTGGAGTGGAGGGCAACACCGTGGTGAGGGGCTCCTCAACCCTGAGGTTCTTTTCAATGACTCTTTTCAAACTCCGCAATATGGCAGTAATGGTTCTTTACTTTCTACTCCATTACCAACATCTTCAGCCTTCTATTCTCTGGCTCTGGAGTATTTGATAGTCTTGCTTTAGAATCTCTGCTATGGCAACCCAAGATTCTGCTGCACTTGCTTGCTCTCATCTTCTTCTTCTTCTTTTTTCGGGGCGGGGGGGGAGATTTTCGCCATAGGGCGCATGCGCTTGCCAGACAGACAGAGAGAGACATAGAGACAGAAAGCGGGAAATCACCCCCCAGGGGGGATGGTCACACCGCAATCCCTTCTCCATTCTCCTCTCGGGATCTTGGGCACGCACGCACATGCGCCCGGCGTGAGTTTTAAGCCACCGGGTCCGGGACGCGAACCGCGGTCGACTATGTGGGAGTCCAGCGACATAGCCATTACACTAACTGCTGGTTCCCACTTGCTCTCTTCTTTTTCTTCCCCTCAAGTTTTTGATGTGGTGTATATGTGCACGCTGGAGAGAGACACACAGAGAGAGAATGAGAGAGAGTATGACCAGTCACAATCCCTTCTCCTCCATTCTTTTCCTGGGATTTTGGGCATGCATACATGTGCACCCAGTGTGAATTTCAGGTTATCAGGTTCAGGACTTGAACCACAGTCGATCGAGTGGTAGTCCAGCACCTTAACTACCATGCCACCTGCTGGCCTCACCTATTCTCTTCTTTCAAAGGTTTATGAGGTTTGTGGGAAGAAAAGAGAGCAAAAGAGGTGAAAGGCTGTGTAAGCAGAGATTTGTCAATTTCCCAATCCAAGGATCCCAAAAAGTGGACATCTCATCCATCTCGCATTGTTGTTGGCCTAGACCAGCTTCTCACACATTGACCCTCTAACTTGCCCCTGTGTTTTCCAGATGTTCCAACACCTTATGCAGAAGCGGAAACACATTCAGTGGACATATGGACCACTGACTTCCACGCTCTATGATGTCACAGAGATCGACTCCTGGGGAGAAGAGCTGTCCTTTCTAGAGCTTGTGGTCTCCTCCAAGAAGCGGGAGGTATGTAATGAGAACCAGAGACTGTCATGTAAGAGAACAGAGAACCTAGTGTCCACATGGAGCCTGTTCATTTGCCCAGACCTTGGGCTCCAGACACCTCTGAGCCTCATAATGAGGTGGGGTCCTCATAACCTGTGAGCTAAGTCCAATCCATACTCCTCTCCTGAGTTCTCTCTCTACTTACCCCTAGTCCCTCCCATGACCCTTCTCATAACAGTATTTCAGATGGGGAACTCTCCAAATGGGAGTTGCTGTCTGTCATTCATTCAGCATTGTGAGCACCTGATACATTTCAGACACTACACGAGGAACTAAGAATATGGAAAGCAATACAACACAGGTCCTGCCAGTCAGCTTCTTCAACTCTCATCCCTCTCCTCAGTAACTGCAATAGAGTACGCATGCACCGTGATAGGAATGTGTGCCGTGCATGTGATCGGCAATACTGAGCAGGGATAACTTGGCAAGATAAGAGGTTTCAGAGCAAAGAGCTGAGCCTGGTTTTCAAGGAGAAGATGGGAGTCACTAGGGAGATGAGGAAAGAGTTTTCCAGAGAAGGAACAACACATAGGCCTTTCAACAGCACTGGATTGCATGTGAGAGGGAAAGGAAAACTTGACAGTTTCCTAGGAACTAGTAGACAGTTATAAAACATGAGCAAATATTAATACAAATAGAAAAGTTTAGAGGTCAAGTAATCTTGCTCAGAAAATATTCCTAGAAGAGATAAGCTTAGAGAAAGATTTCTTCTTTATTTTTAAATAGAGGGTTTTTTTTTTTGAATAGACAATAGTACAGAATTTAGCCCTTGCTAAAGGCACTCAGTAAGAAAGTAGAGATATTTTAACTCTCCAGTAATTGTCATGCACGTCTCTTTTGTTCTCTCTCCACTTCTGCTTAGTTCTCTTTCTGTCACCCTAGCAAGCTTATAATCTCCTGAGTGTTCTCTGTACACTTTTTCTCTGTATGTGTCTGTGACATGGCGCCTGGTGTCATTTCTTCTATTCGTTCTTCACCAGTCTTCGCTGTGGCCATTTCTCCCTCCCTCTCCTTATAATTGTCATGACTTCTGCTTTGGCTTCTCTGACCTGTCTCATCGCTGGTACGGCTCCTGCTGCTCCCCTCATTTCTGTCAGATCCTCTCTTTTCTGGGCTCCAACAATGGCTTTGGGACTTTTTGTTGGAGTCAGAGTGGCTCCATGTGCTATTCTCCCCAGAATGCTCTTGTTCTCTTGGACTTGTCCTCTTCGGAACCGCCCTTGTGACCCCTGAATACCCGTGTTTTCTTCTTTTCCACTCTTTTTCTTTGTTGTCACTCTCACTGCTGCCCTCTGAAGTCTCAATAGAGGAAGAGGCAGAAGACGGGGAGGAGGATTTGTTTTTATGTTTTTTTCCTTTCTTTATTTTACATTTTTAAATTTCATTTTCTTTTATACATTCAATCAAATTATTTAGCTTACAAACTGAGTATTTCAACAGGTGAACACTTTTCCCTAGTCCAGTTGAAAAAACTATAAAATATCTTCAACAGATAATACCACATTTCTTTGTCCCATTAATGCTTTGCCTCCCTATTTTTCTTCTAAATGTCCTTCCTCAGACCCTACTCTTTCACATACTCTATATACTATATACTGTGCTTCTATATCCTTTAGTATTTTTATGTGTTTTTTTCTTTTTCTTTTCTTTTTTATTTTGTGCTTACTTCTGCTCTTCTGAAACTTTTTCCCTTTTTTTCTCTTCTTTTTATTCTTCTCAAGTCAATCCAATTTCCTGAGAAGTTTCTGTTTTTCCATACTCCTGTGATGGATCATTTGCGGTCAAGTTTCTCCCAGTTACATTTCATCTCAGTGCAAACCCACTGTTTCTCATCTCCACTGTTAGCTCTGAGGGGTGCGTCAATAGTCCTGAGCCATCAGTGGGAACTGAACTTGCATTGATTCCAGAAACACCAAACAAAGGACATTCTCGATCTGTGTTGGCATGACCCCATTTAATGCACCTTAATTTTGAACCTGAATACCAAAGGGAGGATCTCTGATGTTCATGTCATCTTTGGCATAGTTTTATCATGGGGCTCCTTCTGCAATTTGAATTTGTATTCAGTCTCTCCTTTTGTTTTCTTTTCTTTCTCTTTGTTTTCATTTTTAGATCCTGATGGGGTCTCATACATGAAATTAAGGCCATTCCTTACACGTTCATCTCCCATAAGCTATCGGTTATCATGATTCTTATTCTTCAAGATGTTGTTGCATTAATTCTTGTTTCTTCTTATCAAATGATATTTTCTGTTCCACCATCCACTTGATATTGGATTTGGAAGCCATATGAAAGTCCTTTCTGCACATGAAGTTGGCAAAGGACTTCCCCATCTTGCAGCCAGATCTGGGGAACACAGTTGTAAATATCCTAGAGAAGGATTTCTTAGCAGTTAAAATCTCAGTCTCTCTATGTGGATTTTGCCATCACACAGCCATTGATATTCTTCTGAAGGATTTATATTTGTCTAGCTTGGCTATTTCCTGTTCCTCTAAGCCTTCTCTTTAGCTTCCTTACATATCTTTCACTGTCCTCACCATTAACTTCAGCAGAAGACCCAAACTCCTACCTTCTAGAAATAATAGCAGCTATCTAGTTGGAGCTCTTTCAACTGGGCATGTCAACAAACTGTCCACTGTCTCTCTCCTTCCCTCCAACATCAATGGAAAAGATAGCCTTTCTGGTAGTGGTTAGTTCCTTGGCTGTGCTTTGAACTTGCCTCCTCCTAATTCTCAGATGCCTTATCCCATCCATGATCCCCTCTCACCTGTATCTTTTACCTTTCATTGTCTGCTCAGATCAGAGCACTATCCCATCGGGCCTGCATTATCACTGCATCCTCCTACCTGTCTGTGCTGCCTGATACTTTTCTCCAGGACTTGGAGAGCAATCTACTTCCCTACTTGTATCTCCCAGTTGCTTTTTGTTACACTAAGGGGAAAAAAAGAAAAAAAAGAAAATTTTCCTCCTTGGCATTCACGGTGCACAATGATCTGGCTTTTCTTGTCTGTTTCACCCATCGTAACTCCTGCTCATCACTCCTGACAGACCCTTCTGTACCCCCAAGCACACTTCATCTGCATGTGTGCACTGGTTTCTGGTGCCCTCCTGCCCTGTCCTGGCCACTACTGCCACTTCATGGAATAATGTTTCCTGCCTCTCCACTCAGCTGATGACTATTCATCCTTTAAAGCCTCAGTGGTGCTAAGGTATCTACGTTGACAACTGTAATGATTTAACTGCAGCATTAGCACACAGCCTAGCATACAGCAGAAATGTACTGTCTGTGGAACAAACGACTGACTGGGTGAATGAGTGATGACTACTGCCCTGCTCCTTCTGAAAAACCTAGCATTTCTTATGACGTGGGTGGCCCTGAGCTATGTTCTCCCTCTGTGACAGGCTCGCCAGATCCTAGAGCAGACCCCAGTGAAGGAGCTGGTGGGCTTGAAGTGGAAGAAGTATGGCCGGCCATACTTCTGCGTGCTGGGCGCCCTGTACACTCTCTACATGATCTGTTTCACCAGCTGCTGCATCTACCGCCCGCTTAAGTCTCGTGAGGGCAACCGCACTAGTCCTCGAGATAACACCATCCTCCAACAGAAACTACTACAGGTATGCTTCTCAGAGAAAGGTGAAAGGGAACAGTAGTGTGAGGTGGCAGGTTTGGTGACCAGGGAGGTGTCATCCAGGAAAGACTTCACTCATTAGGTTCCAGCAGTGGCAGGCTCCTAGTGTCCCAGGTAGAAATCCAGAATGAGATAAGGGATCCAACAGGAAGCTTCATCAGTAGGAGAGCACTTGTCCAAGGAGCTGTGTATTTTCTCACTCAGTATATTTGTGAAATCCTTTTGTAATTTCCAGAGAGGACCAGTTCTTCATAATGGGAAGTTCAAGGAAAAATCCCCATTGTTCTAAAGAAGGAAAATAGTGCTTCAGGTTCATTTCTGTGTTCGTTTCTGGTCTGTTAGGGCAACACAGACAGGCATTCTGGCCTACATTGTCTTCTGTGTACTGTCAATATGAGCACATTGGAATTGCATGTCACCTGTCTGACCACCTGTCAGACACTCTGCAGAATCACACCTGGATAGATAGCTTGTTGAAATAAATAATCCAAGGTCCCTTTACTGTTGTAGGTCTACCATTCTGTGGTGTCCTTCAGAGCCCTGGTGTGGTGAGAATGGCTAATGCAAAGTGTGGAGTAGATGTGAAAGTCTGCGGCTGGAGGGAGCTAACCCTATCTGCAACAAAACGAGTAGGCTCTAATGTGCACTTCTGAACAGAATATACTCAACAAATAAAGGGAGTTGATTTTTCATAGATGACTAAATTTTCTATCCAGTGGGCTGAAAACACCCAAATGGAGATGTAGACTTGTAGGCAGAAAGAGGAAGATGTTGCAAATCCAGTGAGAGCTGGGTGACTAGAAATGTATACTCTATGCAGGATCTGCAATAAGTACAGCTTAGCCTGGGGGGAAATGGAGTGATAAGAAAAGGTAGGAAGAGGGAAAACAACCTCTGGGAACCCTAACTTCTTTGCCCTCGAGTAGGTAAAGACACCCTATCTTTCTTATTTCTGTAATTGCCTTACAAGATAGATACACAAGGGTTGTTCAAAAAGTTCATGGAAAATGACAATTATGAAATAACTATGGGGCCAGCCCTGTGGCTTCATGGTTACGGGAACCAGATCTCACATGGCCAGCCATGCAGTTTGAATCCCTGATCTACCTGTCTAAGAAAAACACTCCAGGTCTGTGTGCATGCATGCCCCCAATTTAAACAAAATGGAGGGATGGACAAGAGGGGATTGTGGTGTGACTATGCCCCATTGAGGGTGTTTTTTCTTTTTTCCTTTCTCTCTGTTTTTCTCTTGAGAATGCATGCACCCTCTGGCAAATTAAGAAGGAAGGAAGGAAGGAAGGAAGGAAGGAAGGAAGGAAGGAAGGAAAGTAGGAAGGAAGGAAGAAAGTGAATTATACATGGATTTCAAAAAAATTTTGCACCAAAATAAACCCATACTTTAATTCCGTTTTCCACAAACGTTTTGAAGTCCCTGTGTACAGTTTGCTTATATGCCCAGAGCCACGCCTCTCAGAATGTAGGATTTGCTGAGACCAGCAGAGGACATAGTGGTTATGTCACTGGATTCCCACATAGCCAAGCACGGTTCAAGTACTGGACCCGATGGTTTGAAACTGACACCATGTGCATGTGTGCCCAAGATTCCAGGAGGAGAATTGAGGAGAAGGGATTGTGGTATGGCCATCCCCCCAGGGGTGGGGTGATGTCTCACTTCCTCTCTCATTGTCAGTTTGTGTCCTCTCTGATAGTGATAAGCAACAATGAAAAAAACCTAAAAACCAAAAAACAAACAATGTAGGGTTTGCTGCCTGAGGAAAAAAGCCTAAGCATGTTAGGAGGGAGCTGTCCGGGGTGCTCAGGGGTGCTGTGCTTCTTGCGTCTCAGTCTGTCTCTGGGTGGAGACCTCCAGAGGAAACAAGGACATGTAGGGGATGATAAAGTGGGGTGGAGAAATGAGGAGCATTGAAGAAAGGTATAAACGTGAGTAAGCTGGGGCAGCTGAACTTCCCCAATGCTCCTGGCCTTGTTTTCTCAGATCTGCTCCTGCCCAACCTCCCTTTGTCTCAATCTCGCTTGGAGATTGTCTACATTTAGAGTGTGGTTAATGTTCTGGCTTAAGATTTGGGCAATTGATTACCACTAAGTCTCCTTCCTGTATCTCTTTCTTTGGGACAGGACAAACATGTTCCTTTGACTGAGATAGCTTAAATTTTATTTTTTAAAAAATCCCCTCCCCTGTTGCCTCAAGAGTAGGAGAAGCATAATTATAGCTAAGTGTCCCTACCCATTCTTTTTTTTCTCCTCCTACTTCTTCCTTTTTTCTTGTCAGCATTTTTACCCTTTTGCTTTCTGATTAGGTAAAAGCAATTTTGACCCTAATGGAAGAGTCTTGATTTTCAAATATTTCTTTCTTGGTGGAAGAGGGAAGCAAGAGATGTAAGAATGCTGCTATAGTTTGGGTGTTTGGGTGGTGAGAAGCACCAATAAAAGGTCCCTGTTCATTGATGTTACCCCTTGAGTTGGTTGTGAGTTTATGGAATGTGCATGTCCCTCTCATTCAGTATTTAAGTCGATCTTGAATACATCATGATTCTCAAACATTATCACTGTGATGGATTGTGTGTCATTATTACTATGAAAGATTCTGCTTTCACAAAGCATCAAATTTGTTAAGTAATAAGAAATGACCTTTTCTTCCTACTTTTTTGTTACTTGAAAGTCTTAGAAAAATGGAAACGTGCAATACAATGTCTCCACGTGATGATTACAATGTTTTATTACAATTATATGTTAGCCCATGGGATTTCCTAGATGAATGTGTGTGTGTGTGTGTGTGTGTGTGTGTGTGTGTAGGGCACATGTGCTTGCCAGAGAGAGATGTAGAAAGAGAAAGAAAGTGAAAAAGCACCCCCGAGGGAAATGTCATATTGCAATCCTTTCTTCTTCATTCTCTTCTCAGGATTTAGGACACATACACACACATGCTTGGTGTGTTTTTTAAAACCACTGTGTTTGGGATTCAAACTGGACAGTTGTCCATGTGAGATCCAACTGCCTTGACCACCATGCCACTGGCTGGCCCTAGATGAAATATTTTAATATCAAATTTATATTAATAAATCTGGAAGCACAGGGCTCTCAATCACTATAGGAATTCTCTGTGAAGCTTTTGGGATTTGCAGAACTCACTGGACACCATGACCCCAGTATGTTTTTTTAGCCTAACATCTGGCAGCCAAGCAGTAACATCTCAGGACAGAAATTGAATGGGAAAAACAAAAACAAAAACAAAAGCAAAAAAACTCCTCCATGTATATGAGGAGGCACAAAGTATACCAAAGCTGCTGACATATGTAAGATTGGAGCTGGACACATCCTTCCAGTTTTGGGGATATCCTTTATGCCTCTAAGATATCCTGTTGCTCAGCCATGAAAGTCATGCTTTTCTATGGTTCCCTCAAAATTCTGTTAACTAATTTCCTACTCCCTTTGGTTTCTAGGTAGTTGAGGCAGAGCAACAAACACTATAGTACTATTTCTCTTAGATTTCCAGATAAGTAGAAAGCTGAAAGTCCAAGAGTCAGACCTGGGTTTTAGTCCTAACTGAAATTAGTCATTTGACCTTGGGTAGATTCTACCTCCTGATAGAGTTTAACCAACACTATATATTATAAAACAGTGAAGCTCATAAAAGGACTGACTCTTGGGACCAGCAGTTAGCGTAATGGCTATGTTGCTGGACTCCCATGTAGTCGACCGTAGTTCGAGTCCTGGATCCCAGTGGCTTAAACACTCTGGGTGCATGTGCGTGCGTGCCCAAGATCCCAAGAGGAGAATGGAGGAGAAGGGATTGTGGCGTGGCCATCCCCCTGGGGGGTGATTTCTCATTTCCTGTCCCTCTGTCTCTGTCTGTCTCTCCGGCGAGCACACATGCCCTGTAGCAAAAAAAAAAAAAAAAAAAAAAAAAAAATTGACTCTTAAGCTGTCTAATAAGTCACAAAGTCTGGCCTTGGTATTTTTTAAGAAACTCAGAGTGATTCTGATGTTTCAGTCAAAGTGAAGGACTACTGGGACCAGCAGTTAGTGTAATGGCTATGTCGCTGGACTCCCACGTAGTCAACCGCGGTTTGCGTCCCGGACCCGGTGACTTAAAAACTCACGCTGGGCGCGTGTGCATGCATGCCCAAGATCCCGAGAGGAGAATGGAGGAGAAGGGATTGTGGCGTGACCATCCCCCCTGGGGGTGATTTCTCACTTTCTGTCTCTATGTGTCTCTCTGTCTGTCTGGCGAGCGCACGCGCCCTATAGTGAAAACCTCTACAAAAAAAAAAAAAAAAAAAGTGGAGGACTACTGGTTTCTGTCTTTGCTACCTGCTAAGCTCCAACACTCTAGCTGTGAGACTTGTTGTTGTTGTTGTTGTTGTTATAGGGCACATGCACTTGCTGGAAAGACGGAGAGAGAGAGAGAAAGCGGGAAACCCCCCCGGGGGGGGGAGGTTGACCACACTGCAATAGCTTCTCTTCCACTCTCTTCTCAGGATCTTGGGCATGCACACACATGTGCCGGTGTAAGTTTTAAGTGGGAGTCCAGCAATGTAACCATTACACCATCTGCTGGTCAGTCCCTCTTGCTGTTAGATTTTAACACTACATCACTCATTAGGTTCCTAGCCCTCCTGGTCAGCAAGAGCACACTGACATCCTGTCATCACATGTCCGTTTTGTCTCTTAAGAAAGATTTCTGGGCTGACTCCGTAGTCTGGTGATTAAGGCAACAAGATCACACATGACCAGCCTTGCAGTTTTTTTTTTTTTAATTTTAATGTATTTATTTACATTCATTCACTCACTGTACATCATTATAGCATACAACACGAGGTTTTCCATCCGGAATACACTGTATGTTGACTCAATCAAGCACATCAACATATGTGTCATCGGCAACAAATAATTTTCCATTTCTTGTTTCCTGTATATTTTGCTTTTTGTTCCATCCTTGATTCCCTCTCTCTCATCCTCTGCCAT